CACCAACTTGTCTGAATTGCAAGAAAATCTCGAGCGAGAGCGCCACTCTTGAGTTCGGAGGCATCTCTGGCAAGGCCCTCTGCGAAACATCTTGAGGAAGTATTGACTGGAGCCCTTGTCGTCGTAGTTGGGCCTCCACCAGTTTGAATGAATCATGAGAGAGTCTCGAGCGAGAGCCGTTCCTGAGTTCGGGGGCCTTCCTCGCCAGGGGCTCTCGGAGCAAATCGTGGGGAAGTATCGAGCGGGAGCCCTTGTCGTCGTGGCTGGGCCCCCGCCAACTTGATTGAATTGAAAGGAAGTCTCGAGCGAGAGCGCAGTTCCTGAGTTCGGGAGCCTCTCTGGCCAGGGTGTCTGGGGGTAAATTATGGTCGAAGTATCGAGAGGGAGCCGTTGTCGTCGTAGCTGGGCCTCCAAGGGCCCACTTTTACACTCAGGCCAACGCTCGAGCGGGAGCCCCGCTTTCAGAGGAAATGTAGCCAGCGTCGAGGCGAGAGCGCCTGGAACCGTTTCCGGAGATCAACAACAATTACTCTAGAAATGAAACAACAACAACAACAACAACAACAACAACAACAGCAGCAGCAGCAGCAGCATCAACAGCAGCAGCAACAACAACAAATGATTGTCGTGGCGATTCCAGGTTTATGGGGAACCTGGATTCACACTAAAAACAATATTTGTTTTCCAAATAGGCTTGCCCTATAGGAGTCCTAACTCAAACCCTACAAAATGGTCCGCTGCCTCCCCCAATTCCTATGTCCCCCCTAATTCCTACGGCTATGCCTATGCCTATGCCTCCCGAGGTAATTGCCTATGCCTATGTCTGCTATGCATATGCCCATGCCTATGCCTCCTATGCCTATGCCTATGCCTATGCCTATGCCTATGCCTATGCCTATGCCTATGCCTACGCCTACGCCTACGCCTACGCCTATGCCTATGCCTATGCCTATGCCTATGCCTATGCCTATGCCTATGCCTATGCCTATGCCTATGCCTATGCCTATGCCTATGCCTATGCCTATGCCTATCCTATGCCTATGCCTATTCCTGTGGAAACACCCGCCAGGGAGGCGTGGTCGGCGCGACGCTCCCCTGACACAGCTACTGGGCCGCACGGTCCAGTACGGTACAGTACAGTGGACTGGAGTGTGCGCGTGTGGAAAACAGGATCGCCCTCATCGTCAGCATCATCGTCATCATCACCATCATCACCCAATATCTGTTTGGAGTCAACGTTGCCTGATATTCTAATTCAAATACGAAATATGGGAAACCTGGAATCACTACGAAAACCCTTCCTTTTTTGTAGTGGTTCCAAGTTTCCCACACTTCGGAATTAGCCTGGCGAAGGACCGAACCATAAACAGTGAGAAGTACCGCAGTTGTGAGTAGCATCTTCGGTGGATCCCCCTATGCGGCCACGAAACGTTTGCGGCGTGTGCCAAAATGGCCTGCCGGCAGCATGCGGGCATCTCCAGTAGCTGCGTGAGTACAGTCTTCGGTGGAGCTCCCTATGGGGCCACGAACCGTGCGAAGGCTGCGCCGAAATGGGGGGGAAGCTGCATGCGCACCCTTCCGCTGGGGCCTTCGGTGGAGCCCCCATATGGGGCCACAAGACGTGTGGGGGGTGCGCCGACATCGGGGGGGGAACTGAATGCGGCCTGTGCCACTGGGGCCTTCGTTGGACCTCCCTATGGGGCCACGAACAGTGTGCGGGGTGCGCCGACATGGAAGATGGAACTGCATCCGGACGCCGTATGGGACTCCCTATGGGGCCACGAACCGTGTGCACCGAATGGGAGGTGGAACTGCATGCGGCCTGTGCCTCTGGGGTCTTCGGTGGAGCTCCCAATGGGGCTACGAACCGTGTGAAGGCAACGCCAAAACGGGGGGTGAAACTGTGTGCGGCCTGTGCCACTGGGGCATTCGGTGGAGCTCCCCATGGGGCCACAAACCGTGTGAAGGGTCTGCCGAAATGGGGGTGGAACCGCATGCGGGCACTACCATTGGGGTCACGAACCGTGTGAGGGCTGCGCCAAAACGGGGGGTGGAACTGTGTGCGGCCTGTGCCACTGGGGCCTTCGGTGGAGCTCCCTATGGGACCACGAACCGTGTGAGGAGTGCGCCGAAACGGGGGGTGGAACTGCATGCGGCCTGTGCCACTGGGGCCTTCGGTGGAGCTCACTATGGGGCCGCTGGGACGTTCGGTGGAGCTCCCTATGGGGCCACGAAACGTGCGAGGGGTGCGCCGAAATGGATGGCTAATGACGATGATGACTGGGGCAAGGAGGGGGAGGATGGGAGGAGGGAGGAGGGGGCGGAGAAGGAGAGGAGAAGAGGAACGCGGGGGCGCTGTTTCTTCAAAACGAGGACCGAACACCACAGGATACTTGGGAAACAAATTTTCGTGGTGATTCCAGGTTTTCCAGACTTCGAATTGTAGGAAGCCCGTAACCACAACAAGGAGTTCTACCCTCCCAAGGGTTCCCAGGCAGTCGTCCGGCCATGGGTTTCCCACCATTCGGAGTTATGGGATACCTAGAGTCACCACACAAAGTCCTTCTTCTCTTTTTGGTGGTGATTCCAGTTTTCCCACAATATCGAACTATGGGAAACCCATAGCCGGACGACTGCCCATTTTGGACACCCACGTAGACACCCACCAGTGTGTTATCACGGCCCCATTCGGGACCAGATTTTGGGGACCTCCACTCAGGTAGAATCGACACGCTGGCGGCATACAAATGTCCCTTTTGTAAACCGCATGATCACCAGGATGTAGCAAACCGGGCGTTATCACGGGCCCGTTCGCGCCCAGATATCTATTGGGCAGGATGGCCGTCTTGGGGAAGAGAAAATTCGTCGGCCCCCTTGCGGGGCCACCAGACTGCGAGGATGAGGATTACAGCTCCCTGTTCCAGTTGCAGTTTCCAGTTTCCACTGTTACGGTCCTGCTTTCTGCCTCCTTCCTGTTAGATTGTTGCTGAACGCGCGAGGGGGGGAGCTCCAAACCATATTCTTTACCACGCACAGATCGCGTTGTCTGAATTCCTCGGGGGGCGTGGGACACGTAAAACTACATGATGTTCGCGTCCCCGAAGCCATAAACCCGAGTAAAGTACGCCATAGTCGCGTCCCCGAGGCCAAAAATCTGTGTTAATTATATAATTATCGCGTCCCCGAAGCAAGAATACCTCGTGAATTACGCGATATTCGCGTCCCCGAAGCGATAAACCTTTGTAACGTATACAATGTTCGCGCCCCCCAGATCATAAACCTACAAATGACATAAGATTCGCGCCCCCGAAACCGTATACCTTTGATAATTACATTACATTCGCGTCCCCAAAACCATAAACCCTAATAAATTACACCATACTTGCATCCCCGAGGCCACAAACCCTTGCAAATTACACAAGACTTGCGTCCCCGAGGCCATAAACCTGTTTGTGAATTACGCAACATTCGCGCCACCGAAGCCATAAATCCTTGTAAATTGATATTGGCCCCCGCGTGGAGTCCCGACATTGCTTTACGTCAGCGTCCAGACATCCCAACACAGCTCTGGCAAGTCCCATTCTAAGAGAGGGGGGCCGGCGGCATGGGGATGAAGCCCTTACAGATAAGTTCTTTCAAATCACCCAAGTTTGGGACGCGAGAGAAAATACAAGGCACACAGATTGGGGATCTCCACCTCGGATATCCCCCCCTAGTCCTCAATTTCTCCCCCGTAACCCTCCATCCGCGCCTCGTCTTCCTGTGGCCCTATGACCCGACTCCCCATCACTCATCAACCTCCTCCTTCTCCTCGCCCCTCCTGGTCGGCTACCATAACTAACTGTTGCTCTTGGTTCCGTCATCCCTTGGTGAGGGGCTTGAGTCGGAGCGCGTTCTCGAGTATAGCCGAGGTAACCAACCGTCCGATGAGACAACACCCTCGACTGTTGCATCTCGTCGTAATGGCTAGCAAGCCCCTCCAGATGCCCAACTACCCCGACCATCGAATGGAATTCCCACGCAGTTACAGTTTGGCCCGGCCGTATAAGCAGGCGGCGGAAGTTGACGGCGGCAAAGAAGAGGACAAGCATTGACAAAGGGAGGGAGGTCATGATGAGGGGGCGGAGGGAAGAAAGGATACACAACAAGAGGGTGATGACGAAGGAACAACATGAAAGAGAGAGGTGGATGGGATCGGGACGAGGAAGACACCGAGGATGGGATGAGCAGCCAAATGACAAATTAATAAAGGAAACGGAAAAAGAGTCTTGCAGAGGACGAACACCAGGACGAGGAGCAGGGTGCGGAGACGACGAAAGTGACGAGGCGAAGGAGGCGGAGGAGGGGTGGACCAGCAGCGAGCCCAGAGGCTGGCTCGAGAGTGCGATGGCCGCCTGCGGCCTCATGAGGTGCCTGCTCACAAAGGGGTGGCGTCGACATCGCGATCGGCTTCTTAGAAATGGAAATCCATACATGCGTAAGCCCGCTCGGGCGACTTGCCGCTTTTTTGGTTGCATGCGTGCGGTTCAGAGGCCAGCCTGTTGCGGCAGCCTGTCAAAAAGAGGACGAGGGCACTGAGGAGTCTGAGGATGAAGCAAAGGAACGAGCGGAGGATGGGAAGGAGAACAAGGAGGTGAGGAAAATGAGGCCGAGGAAGAGGGGACGATGACGAGGAGGAGATGGTGACAGGAGAGCAAAGCAACAACGAGGGAAACGAGGAGGAATGTAGAGGGGGACGTGGACAGGGAGGAGGGCGAAGGAGAGCAAGGCAAAGAGGCATAGGAAGAAGCCAGGGCGAAGCTTCGGGGACAGATCTAGAAGTGGGGAACCTCTTCTTCCTCAAACTGTTTCTCCGACTCATCCTTCTCATCCTCCTCCTCCTCCTCGTCCTGTTCGCGTTCCTATTCGCTCTTCCGTCTCCTCCCATGATTGAAGCCTCCTGCATGGCCCCCACAAACGCCACAACGCTCTATTCCCCAGCGGTCTTTCAGGGGGGTCTCCTTGGGACAGCATCCTCGCGGCGCAGCTGTGCACGAACGAGTGCACCGTCAGGGTCAGGGCGGTGCCACAGCCCAAGTGCCACTCGAGGGGGTCCCATCTGCGCTCGAGAAGATTCACCTCCACTGGCTGTCGGCGACTCCTCGTTATCCCTTCGTCTCGCCCCCAAATTTCCCTCTCGTCCTCTCGCTATATCCCCCAACCCTCACTCTGCACACGCGTGTACATTATGCCTGACATCTAGCGTTATCCTTGTTTCGCGTCCCCCCTCCCAAGTATTTGTTATAGTGCTCGCCTGCACGGTTCCTTCTTTTGGAGGGACAGTGGCACATGCACTGATGTGTACACATAGCTCCGCATGCACATGTTTCTGGGTGTTTGCGCTCGCGCTGAAAGCTCTGCGTGGTGCATGGGAAGCCAAATATGTGGCACAATCTAGGCGAAACCAGATAGAGGGGGTGTGATGTATATGTCCGGGAGCTACGTGCGCAAGCTCTGTGGTGCAGCGCGCGCATGCCTATGGGATGCAATCTATGTGGCGAACCCTCTGTGGTGAAATCCACCACGCTGAACTTTCAGTCGTCTACCCTTTACTCGCGCACTCATCCCACCATCCCGACCGCAACTTGCTTTGCACAACAGATGCGACCGTGATTGCCGCGAGTACTTCGCACTAGCTGGCGCATCTTTGCGGCTGCGCGAGCGCGCGCAAGCTCGCGCGTTGAGCGGCCATCTGGTTTGGCACAACCGACGCGGCCGACATGCGCGCGCGTGTGGGTTGTTTGTGTTACTTGTTGAAAAGAGGTCATTGGAAAATGCAGTTTGAAATAACCAGCTGTGCACGCACTGTAGGATTTGAACAGGATGGGGGAGAGGGCGATGCCTGGCCGCCAGGAACAGCATGCTTTCATATGCAAATGAACGATGAAGCTGCTGATACCATGAACGGTGAGACTATTGGACAAGGAACAAGTGGATCAGAACTCCACGGTCTGGAAGCTGGTAGAACACCCTCTGAGGCCTGGCCATGGAAATCATCACCGCTCTCATCCAGGGTCTGAAACCTCGTCGGCACATTCCTTCACGAACTCCCTTAAAATGGTTCGCGGTGTCCCAGGGGCACCGCGAAGCCCGAGGAAAAAACATGGTGGAGTCCTGATTTCTCTTGAAGGAGAATTATGTTCGCCCAACTTGAAGTCGTCAATTCCACCCCTCGTGCAAACATCCCACGCATCCACCCACAACTTGTTTGGCGAAACCCATTCGGCCATATTTGCGGTTCCAGATCGAGACCCGAGCTGACGCGCGCACGCGCTCGAGAGAAGCGCGGCAAGCTGGTCTGGCGCAACAGATGCGGTGGCGATGGCGCTAACCGATGGGAAATGCCCAGCGAGTCTCAAAGGCCGCGCTGGCGCGCGGGCACTTCAGTGAAGGTCAGTGACCCGGGCGGGCGCAATATCATGATGATGTCTACGACGGCAGCAACTATGATGATGATGATGATGATGATGATGATGATGATGATGATGATGATGATGATGGTGGTGGTGATGATGATGATAATAGCGATGGTGGTGGCGATGACGATGACGACGGCAAAGCCAATGACGGCGCCGACCCTGCTGACGACGACGACGATGATGATGTCCACGTGTCGGTCATGAGGAAGATTGTGCTGATGAGAGCGGCAACGGCGGCGATCAACGATGACGACAACGACTATGATGCGATGGCGCTGATGATAGTGATGAGGATGTACGCTCGAGCAGAAATCCCAGAAATCTGGCCCACTCGCTGTTGAAAACAGTTTTGCTCCGTGTACTTGAAAAGCTCGACCTTGAAATGTTTAGACATCATGGCGTTGGAAGGATTCCGCCACGCGCGCCCACCGCGGGCCCCCAGCTGATCGGGTGGCCATGGAGGGGGGGGGGGCCAAATCCGACCACACGAGGGAGCAGCAAACGAGAGGTCAGCCAATCAGCTCTGTGCTGGCGCATCCCGGCGCCGAAGGCGCCAAGGTATCGAGGAAAGCGCCCCGCGGCGGGGCCCGGGCCAGCTGCACGAGGCAGACTTCGTAACCACCTCCCGTCTCCCGATCCCCCCCTCGGGAGCGGAGGATGCAGAGGAAAAGACACTCGGCCAGCTCCCACCCTGTGAACGCACAGGCGCTGATGAGTGCAGGATAAAGGGCGGCGCGGACGTGCACAGGGCACGCTGCGGACCTTGAGACCGAGTCTCCTACCCAGCCCGTGGGGCGAATGCGTCGGGGAACAAGGACGACAACTGCACGCCTGAGGGTGGTGCTGGTGGGTGCTGGTGCTCCCCTCCTCGCCCTGTGGGTGCAGAGTGGTTCGTCGTCGTCGTCGTCGGCGTCGGCGTCGTCGCCGTCATCGTCGTCGTCAAAGTCGTCGTCGTCACCGCCGCGGTCCTGGTCGTCGTCGTCAGCGTCGATGTCGTCGTCGTCAGCGTCGTCGTCGGCGTCGGCGTCGGCGTCGCCGTCGGCGTCGCCGTCGCCGTCGGCGTCGTCGTCGGCGTCGTCGTCGGCGTCGTCGTCCACGTCGACGGCGGCGTCGTTGGCGTCGCCGTCGCCGTCGGCGTCGGCGTCGTCGTCGGCGTCGTCGTCCGCGTCGACGGCGGCGTCGTAGGCGTCGCCGTCGCCGCCGGCGTCGGCGTCGGCTTCCGCGTCTGCGTCGGCGTCGGCGACGTCGTCGTCGTCTGTCGTCGGCGTCGGCGTCGGCGTCGGCGTCGGCGTCGGCGTGGGCGTCGTCGTCGCTGGCATCGGCATCGGCGTCGGCGTCGGCGTCGGCGTCGCCGCGGGCGTCGCCGACGCCGTCGGCGTCGGCGTCGGCGTCGTCGTCGGCGTCGTCGTCCACGTCGGCGTCGTCGTCCACGTCGACGGCGGCGTCGGCGTCGCCGTCGCCGTCGGCGTCGGCGTCGTCGTCGGCGTCGTCGTCCGCGTCGACGGCGGCGTCGTTGGCGTCGCCGTCGCCGTCGGCGTCGGCGTCGGCTTCCGCGTCGGCTTCCGCGTCTGCGTCGGCGTCGGCGACGTCGTCGTCGTCTTTCGTCGGCGTCGGCGTCGGCGTCGGCGTCGGCGTCGGCGTGGGCGTCGTCGTCGTCGTCGCTGGCATCGGCATCGGCGTCGGCGTCGGTATCGGCATCGGCGTCGGCGCCGGCGTCGTCGTCGTCGTCATAGTCGTCGTCGCCATCGTCGTCCCCCATGCCATCTGCGGGGGGGGGGCGCCTGTGGAACTCCGGGACACAGCAAATGCTCAGGGGGGATCATACACGCCCTCGAAAGTGGGCCCTCCGTTTGGGGATCCCAAAACCGTGTGGTGACAGACCGTGCGGTGACCTCGGAACCCCGGGAGACCTCACCGCACGGTCCGTCACCGCACGGTCTTGGGACCGTGGAGGCCCCAGTCGCCAGAGACATCATCGGAGAACGACCCAAGTCCCAAAACCATGCGGTGGCCCCAAATCCCCACCGACTGACCCCACGGTGTGGTCACCACATCGTCTTGGGGCCTCCGATCTGTGAAATTCTGTGAGCCCTCGACCGGAGATCATATACGCCCTCCCTGCTGGGCCAGGGAGGCATATATACACCGATCCTGGTCCTGGGATCGGCTCGGCCAGGATGGGTGCGTGTGTATAGCTGGCGCCCTCCGAGAGAACAACTCGCAGTGGGAGGAGGACGGAGAGGAGGAGGAGGAGGAGGAGGAGGAGGAGGAGGAGGGGAAGGAGAAGGGGGAGGGGGAGGAGGAGGGGGAGGGGGAGGGGGAAGAAGGGAGGAGGAGGAGGAGGAGGAAGTGGAGCGTACCCAAAGGCGAGTCCCAGGATTCAGCGACGGCCTGCTGCACCACCCTGCTACAGCAATTCTCTTCTGCATTGGAAGAAGGAAGATCGCCCTACCTTGCTCTCTTATCGGCCACGCGGCCGGGACAGCGACTGAAAAAAAGGGTCTCATCCAGGGAGCGGAACATTGGAAGAGGGACGATACAATGTACAAGCGACAGGGGGAAACATGCTGCGACGCTGGCTACTGCACAGCTCATTCCACCGTTGGATTAAAAGGGAGGAGGAGCAGGAGCAGGAGAAAGAGGAGGAGGAGGAGGAGCAGGAGAAAGAGGAGGAGAAGTGGGAGGAGGAGGGGGAGGAAGGAGAGGAGGGGGGTGAGGAGGAGGAGGAGGAGGAGGAGGCGGGCGGCCCACACGGAGCCCTCAGAGGGGCGCTCGCTGCGCCGCCGAAGCGCTAGAGGCCGCAGTCGCCCGCGCGCCGCTCCTCGGCGGTGGCGAGCTGCGTGAACAGCAGCTCTGCCCGGATCTCGCTGGTGCACGCGCTCGTCCCGCGGATGAGGTCCAGGATCTGTATGATGGCGGATGCACCCTTCAGCCCCGCCGTGCCGCTGATGAGCTCGTCCGCCGTGAGCCGTCCGTCCCCGTCGTCGAGCATCCCGAACAGGCTGTGGGCGTCCTGGGCCTTGAGCTCCTGAGCCCGGAGCCAGACCTGCACCCACGTGTCGTTGCATACCTGCATCCACTCCTCAATATCAATCGACCCATCGCCATCAATATCGGCCTCGTTGAAAAGTCGCTGCATCTTGTCACAGTGAACGCTTTCCTTACGCGTCTGCTGCCTCACCACGAGGTTGTCGTCCATCTCGGCCACCCTGAACGTCTCCTGTATGAAGATTGCGCCGAGAACTCCCACGGCGGCAAATCCGATGATGATCTTGTGGAGCACGGCGTACAGGAGGAACGCCACGCTGACATTGTCCACCAACGCCCTGACACCGTTGGACCAATTGTCAAACGTAATCTCGAACATGGTGAGGAACGCACGGGTGAACGACCCAAAATAAAGGAACACCTGGCGCTGCTCCTCGGGATTGGACGGTTCCGCCTCGAAGTAGAACTCGGTGAGAGTTTGGTTGATGAAGAGAGCCAGAATCGTATGGACCACGAAAAATAATAAGAAAGTCCACGCCGTGGTCATGACGCTGCCCGCGAGAGCTGTCGACATCAGAAACAGACTCTCCGTCAGCTGGCTCTGCATGAACTTGACAATGCGCAGGAGCCGGAACATCCTTGCCAGGCGAGCCAACCGCAGAAACTGTGCATTCACGCCTAGCTGAGACACCCTGGTGTACAGCCAAAGCAGGACAATCGTCAGGTCGATCCAGTTCCAAGCATCGAGAACAAACTGGGAACGCAGGGCCACAATCTTCAGAATGACCTCGACCAAGAAGACGAGCCCGAAGATCAAGTCGAAAGCACCAAAGACATCCGAGGCGTGCGGCCACACCTGCGCATCCCGCACACTCACGTGCCCGACGTCCTCTGCCAGGCCAAAAGCGTCGTACTGGGCCTCCACGCACATGAGCACACCGTTCAGGATGATGGCCACGCCGACCGCCACCTCGAACGCCGTCGACGTCACGAGCCTCTGGACGAACAGAACGCGCTGCCCGAGCAGGAGCGCTCGGAGCTCCGCGCGGCCTTCTCCGATCGGCGCAGGGACCCCTGGCGCCGCCCCTGGCGCCGCCCCTGGCGCGCTCCGCGCGCCGGGGAGGGGGTCCAGCGGCAGTGCAAGACATCCGCGCGGAGCTCCGAAAGCTCGCGTGGATGCAGCGCTTTCTCACTCGAGCCTCCTCAGCCGGCCCTCCTGCCGCGAGGCGCTCCGCTCCCGGAGCGTGTCCCTTCCGTGTCGGAGCTTCGGCCTCCGAGGCGACGCCCTGCCCCGGCCGCGGCGGTCAGAGGGGGGGCTCCAGCTGGCGGCCACGGGCCCCTGGGCATCTGGGCTGTCCTGAGAGACTGCGGTGGCAACTCACGGGAGCCTCCCGCGCCATCGTGCTGGCTCTTGCGAATCGACGCTGAGCGACGTGAAGCGTGGCGAATCGACGCCAATCGGCGCTGAATCCACGCGGATCGGCACTTCCTCCTCGACTCCCGGACGCTGGCGCACGCCGGTGCACTAGACGGACGGACTTGCGAGGGTACACTGGGCCCCCGTGCCTTGCGACCGCAAGAGGCCGAGAAGCTGCACGCCTTCCCGAAACTCTCGGAGGTCCGGGCCGACCTCTGGGGGCGCGCGCCGTCCCCCCCCGCGCCCTTCGCGTGCAGGAAAGGCGCCGCGGGCCACGGGTGCCCGGCGCCGATGGAGGGGAAAGCCGCACGTACCTCCGAAAGCTTGTGCTTCGAAGAGGGCCTCGCGCCCTCTTCGACGCACGAGCTCCGAGCCCAACGAGCCCCAAGGCCCGCGCCTTCCAAGAAGCACCACCCCCCTCGCGCCGCCTCCTGGTGCGCGCCCCAGAGTTAGGTCGGGCGTGTCCCCCTACAGGCGGATTTTAGAGGAAAAATAAGAAAGCAAATAGAAAATCCAAGTGGTAGAAAATACTCGAATAAGCTGATCTTGACCATTGTTGACTATTTTTAAACATTCCTCCTGTAGAAGGACGTACCCGGCTTAACGCCAGAAGCTTCCGTGGGCGGAGCCACCCTCGCTTTACCCCCACGGGCCTTCCCCCGAGGACGGGAGATGGATCCTTCGACCCCTTGACGAAAACTCCGCGCCGTTCTCTGCTCTTCGGTCTTGCTTTCGTCCTTTGTTCTCCGTTTCATGAGATGTCTCGAGCTCTTCCACACGCGGCCCCAGGAGGTCCACACGCACTCCCCGGGGCCAGCGTTTGATCCCGACTTGTGCTCGGCGAGGGCCCCAAAAGCCCAACAACGGCCAAAAACCGCTTGACCTCTGAGATCCGACGTAATTAGCACAAAACTTGAAACATCGCGCTCGTCAGCTTGCTGCGCCATCATTCGAGCCGGATCGATCTGCGAGGGCCCCCGGGCCCGAGAGCCGGGCAAAATCGCCCAGCTCGAGAAATGTGAGACATCAGGATCTCAGGGGCGCGATGCCAGCGCAGCTAGCCCAGCAGGCCGTTGCTGGCTCGCGCGGCCCTTGCCAACTCTCGCAGCCCGAGGAAGACGAGCCGCGCGGACATCGCCAACGCGGCATACCAAAGATGGGGTAGAGGCAACCATGCAGCCAGGGACGTGATCTCTGCACGGCGCGAGCTGGTCTGGGATGGCCCCTGGCCGCACAATCCTCTGGCAGCCCGCCAGGGCCGAGGCGGCGCTCCGCCGCGCGCGGCGGCAGCGCCGCGGCGCCGGCGCCGAGCGGCTCGAAGCTCGGGGCCCGCGGCTCAGCCCCGCCCCGCCCGTCGCCCGCCTCTCAAGGGGCCCACAGAGAGACACCTTTCTGTTGCGTCGGCGGCGAGGCAGGGGTCGTCTGCGCCAGCGGAATGGCCTAAGCAGGGATACCGTTGAAGCGAATTCTGCCACCATGCAGGATAGAGGGGAAAAGCGGAGGACGCAGCCGAAGGAGGGAGCGGAGGGAGCGAGTCCCAGGGAGATCGAGACACATACATCGACGCCTCCACAGATTCCCACGATTGTTCTCCGTGCTTCCTGTGTTTTCCCCATATCCTAAGATGGGCTTGTTGTTATTACTTGGACGCCTCCTACTCCTCATTCCTCTTCTTCTCCTCCTCCTCCTCCTCATACCTAGAATTACTCATACACAGATTTACTCATACACAAACTTACTCATACTCAGACCTGATCATACGAACTTACTCATGCTCAGACCCACTCATACTCAGACCTACTCATACTCAGACTTACTCATGCTGAGACTCACTCATACCCAGGCTTACTCATACTCAGACCTTCTCATTGTCTGACTTCCTCAACACAGAGCAGATTGTGAGGATGTCTCAGGCGGGGCGCTGGTTTCAGCACCCCTAAGGGAAGCCGCCGACGGGTGTTGCACGGTCCCGTTCGCGGCCGTTTTGTGGGGATGTCTCAAGCGGTTTGCCTGATTTCTGTCTCAACATCCTTCGCTTGGAGAGCAGATTGTGAGGATGTCTCAGGCGGGGCGCTGGTTTCAGCACTCCTGAGGGAAGCCGCCGAGGGGTATTGCACGGTCCCGTTCGCTGCCGTTTTGTGGGGATGTCTCAAGCGGTTTGCCTGCTTTCTGTCTCAACATCCTTCGCTTGGAGAGCAGATTGTGAGGATGTCTCAGGCGGGGCGCTGGTTTCAGCACCCCTGAGGGAAGCCGCCGAGGGGTATTGCACGGTCCCGTTCGCGGCCGTTTTGTGGGGATGTCTCAAGCGGTTTGCCTGATTTCTGTCTCAACATCCTTCGCTTAGAGAGCAGATTGTGAGGATGTCTCAGGCGGGGCGCTGGTTTCAGCACCCAGGGGTATGACACGGTCCTGTTCGCGGCCGTTTTGTGGGGATGTCTCAAACGGTTTGCCTGCTTTCTGTCTCAACATCCTTCGCTTGGAGAGCAGATTGTGAGGATGTCTCAGGCGGGGCGCTGGTTTCAGCTACTAAAGGGGAGCCGCCAAGGGTGCTGTCACAGCTCCGTTCGTTGCCGTTCTGTGGGGACGTCTCTAGCGGTTTGCCTGTTTTCTGTTTTTTTGCGTTGTGTCCCGAGTGGCTCTCCCCGTTGCGTACGAGGGTCAAGGAGGAGTGACCAGGTGTTGCTGGCGCAGAGCTTGTGTCGCCGTGGGATGTTGCTTTCTCTGTCCGTGGTGCTTTCCAATCTTGTCGTCGTCAGCGGGAAAGGGGACTTGAGAAGGTTCATTCTCCAGCGTGCGTTTGGGCCTGGGGAGGGAACTTGAAAAGGTTCACCCTCTAGCTGCGGGAGAGGGAACTTGAAAAGGTTCGGCTCATATGGCTCTTATGACTAGACTCTCATTTAAATATCCCAAATACAATATTACCTTTAAAAAGGATGCACATATGGGGAACTCCACGCAGTGAGTAATTTGTTGTGTTCCCCTCGGCTGTCCAAGCCTTGTGTGCATTTCCATCGGCACCCACGTGGCGCATTTCGGAAACCCTGAACCCAAAAACGTTGTCATCTCTGGGGGCGTAGTTTTCACTTCCGCCGCCGTCCGCCGAGCTTCCGCCGGCTTCCGCCGGCGGAGGCGGCCCCGTTTCACTTCCGCCGACCCTCCGCCGCCCCTTCCGCCGCCTTCCAAGGCGGAAGAGATGACAACTCCTTCTGTCCTCGAAGGCAAGTAGGTGTGACTGTGGACCATGTAGGTTGGAACGCCTCATGTAGGTGTGACTGTGGACCATGTAGGTTGGAACGCCTCAGGAGATGACAACTCCTTCTATCCTCGAAGGTTGGAACGCCTCGTGTAGGTGTGACTGTGGACCGTGCACATGTTGCCCCCCCAGAGCCTCGTCCGCGCAGGGCACCCTCGCCGAGCAGGGCGCGGCGGGGGCGGCCGCCCCGCGGGCGGCCAGCAACTCCGCGCGCAGCGCCCGCACCTCGGCCGCGCTGATATACGCAGCACGCGGCCCGTGGCCAAGCTCCCGGAGCTCGAGGCGGAGGTTCTCCACCGCGCAAGACGGAGCCAGGCCGAGGATACCCATTGGTCGTTGAAAGATCAGCGGAGGCCAGTCCACAAGGAACCTTCCACCAGAGACCCAACCCTGAGACCCTAAGACGTCCATCGATTTTTGGTGTGGGGTCGTCACGCTTTCCATGGCAAAACCATCGAATCCCAAGAAACCCAGGACACCATGGAGGCAAGCAGGGTGTTTCTTGGCATGGACCCCCACTGTAAATATTTCTGGATACCCAGATTCCAATATACTTTAAGCGCCTTCTTAAGCGCCTTCCTACTGCAATGACGGAGTGGCTTCACCGCTTCCGTCCTCCCAGAACGGGCTGGCGGACACCCAATCTGCTTCCAACGCCTTCCTACCTCATGTTTCTACCTACTTCCGATGGGTAGCATCGACTGAGAAAACGCGGGAATTTCTGAGATCCGGCGGCGCCAGAAGATGTCCCTGGCGCCACGGCCTTGTCAGAGCTTTCCGGAAAGTTCTACGAGCGTTCCGGATAGCCTTGGAACGGAGTTATCTTTGCCCCAGTCCTGCCCGATAAAATTCGGCCTCTCGGGACCCTTCATTACTGGGCCTGCGGACCGTCAGAACACGATTCTAAGTGAAAAACCGGTCCGGGGGAAGTGGTCGAGAGGTCGGGGGCCCGTGACTCGAAAAACCGAAACACTGGATGTCTGGTTGACGCGTTGATCCACACATAGATCGAAGACGTACGCTGGGCACGATGCATTCGCACAGTGTGGGCCAGTACGCTGCGCCAGCGCGCAGCGCATGAACACTTGAGCGTCAAAGAGACATGGATTCTACGCGAGCTGGCGCAGCGACCTTCCGCGGCGGGTTACGCGGACACCAGCACGGCACACCGCACTGCGACACGAAGGCACTTACGCACGACCTTACGCGGACAATTTACGCGCCAATGTCGGCGCAGACGGCCCCGTCTTTTGCGTCGCTCACTTGTCCTCAGATGTTCTTCATTTTTCCCCAACAATCCTGTGGTGTTCGGTCCTCGATTTGAAGAGACAGCGCCCCGCGTTCCCCACTCACTCCTTTTTGCTCCTCCCCCCCCTCCATTTTCCCTGCGCTTTTCCCGCCCAGTACAACGTTTCGTGTCTCACTAGGGAGCTCCAACGAAGGCCCCAGCCTCGGATTTTTCATGCGGTTCCTGCGCCCACTACAACGCCTCGTGGCCTCGTAAGAGCTCCACCGGCGGTCCCAGCGGCGGAACTCGCATGCGGTTCCTGCGCCCATCACAACGCTTCGTGGCCCCATTAAAAGTTCCTCGGAAGGTCCCAGTGCCTCGCATGAGGTTCCTGCGCCCACTACAGCGCTCCGCGGCACCATAGGGAGCTCCACCGAAGGTCCCATAGGGAGCTCTTCCGAAAGTCCCAGCGGCGGAACTCGCAGGTGGATCCTGCGCCTCCTACAGCGATTCGTGGCCCAATAGGGAGCTCCACCGAAGGTCCCAGTGGCGGCACTCGCACGCGGGTGCTGCGACCGGCACAGCGCTTCGTGGCCCCATCAGGTCCACCGAAGGACCCACTGGCTGAACTCGCACGCGGTTCCTGAAACCTGCGCGGCGTTTCGTGGCCCCGTGGGGAGCACACCTTTCACGCGCTTCGTGGCCCCATAGCCTGGGCGCGAGCCGTCCGCAGCCAGACCTTCTCTCGGTCCTGTAGACTCTCGCCCTGGGCCGTCAGCTGCCTGGCGCGTCGCTCCCTCGTCCGACGTCGCCCAGGCGTAATCCTGGATTGTGGCCGCCACGAGGTCGAGGCGGCAAGGAGGACGACGACTGGCGGCTGGAACTCTACGCGCTGCTCTCGCGCGCCACGCGCCGCGAAGACCTCATGCCCATGCGGACGCCGCAAATCGAGTTGTTCCTGGCAGGGCCGCTGGAGAGCTTGCGGAAGCAGTTGGTTCAGTTAGCGGCGCGCACGCAACGGTGCCGGAGGGAGGTGACGGCCTTCGCCAGGGAACTGGGTTTCACCGAATTTCTCCGCGAGGCCTGACCAAGGGAGCGGCCCGCCGAAGCCTCGCCTTCTCTCGACGGTCTGACTGTATGGCCCCGCGCCGCGGACGACCCGCGCGAGTCGCTGGGACCCTCTCGGAGCGACAAGCGCGCGTCGCGGGAACTCCATGCCGCGCTCTGCCCAGCGCCTCGCTCGACCGTCGTCGCTCTGCCCAGCAGCCAGAGCCCTGCCCGCAATGAGCAAGCAAGCTAGCTTACTTTGCTCCACGCAGCGGACGACCCGCGCGCGTCGCTGGGACCCCTTCGGGGCGACCGGCGCGCGTCGCGGGGACTCCGCGCTGCGCTGCGCCCGCATCCGTGCGTTTTGGAATGCGCGGGCACAAAGGGAGAAGTACCCTGCGACGTACCCGACCCTTTCTATACATGTGGCGAGTATACTCAGGACCTGTCAATGCTGACTGGCATACTGAAGGTCTCGCAGTGCGCAAGAAGAGCACCCAGCAGTGATTCCAGAAGAGCGCAGCAAGAAGAGCAGTGGCGAAAATGCAAAACGGACACGCAAGGGACGATAGTGGTGGTCCGCGTATGACGTACCTCCGCTGAGTCCCCCAGGAGCCCACGAAAGTAGCGACAATTTCGCAGATCACTGCCCCCCAGGGCACGGCGAGCTATAGCGGTGATTTGCGTATGAAGTACCTCCGCTGGGCCTCCCAGGAGCCCACGAAAGTAACGACAATTTCGCAGATCACTGCCCCCCAGGGCACCCCGAGCTATGGCGGTGATATGCGCATGAAGTACCTCCGCTGGGCCTCCCAGGAGCCCACGAAAGTAGCGACAATTTCGCAGATCGCAGCCCCCCAGGGCACCGCGAGCTATAGTGGTGATCTGCGTATGACGTACCTCCGCTGGGCCTCCCAGGAGCCCACGAAAGAGCTGCCAGTTTCGCAGATCGCAACCCCCCAGAGCAAAGCGAGCTATAGTGGTGATCTGCGTATGACGTACCTCCGCTGGGCCTCCCAGGAGCCCACGAAAGTGCCGACAATTTCGCAGATCGCAGCCCCCCTGGGCAAAGCGAGCTATAGTGGTGATCTGCGTATGACGTACCTCCGCTGGGCCTCCCAGGAGCCTACGAAAGTGCCGACAGTTTCGCAGATCGCAGCCCGACGCGGCACGAGAGAAGAGGAGAGGGGAACACAGGAAACAGGAGAGAAGGAGGAGGGGAGGAGAGGGGAGGAGGAAGGAGGAAGGACGGGGCGACCACACTGCCCTATTCAAAACGAGAACCCAACACAGGAGGATGGGGAAAAGGAAAGGAAGGACAATCTTGGACGGTTTAGCTTTTCGCGCTACCCTCCATCAAACAGCTCACGGACGGAGGGAGTCACGCCAAAGGCCCACAGTGAGCCAGCTCCACCGAAGGCCCCAGTGGCAGCGCCCGCGTGCCGCCGCCATTCCACTTTGGCATACCCTCACGCGGTTCGTGCCCCCGTGAGGAGCTCCACCGAAGACGAGACTCACAGATGCGGCACCCACAAGTGCATATGGTTGGGTCCTTCGCCAGGCTACAACCCGCTGGATTCAAAAGTTGGGACGGCGGGGTTCGAGAGAGAGAGAGAGAGAGAAGGAGAGACGCTGTTGGCCACCCGTTAGGCCATGGGGCCCAGAACAATGTTGGAGTTGATGCCGAATTGGGAGCTTCAGACGCATACCTCACCCCCTTTTTTAATATAATAAAGGCCAAATGGGGCCGGCGTCTGAAAGCGGCATTCCGCCGAGGACTTCCTCAAAAAGTTTCAGATCGCCTTCCAGGGCGATCTGAAATTCTCACATGCCGTCTGAAAGTGGCGATTTCGCCTAGAATTTCCTCACAAAAAGTGTCAGATCGATGTTCATGCCGCCTGAGAGTGGTCGTTTCGCTTAAGACGTCCTCAAACAGCACTTTCAGGGTGCCTTCCATGCCGCCAGAAGACAAAGATTTCGTGTGCGATGATTTCCATAACTTTGTGCTGCAGAGCTCCACGCCCTGCGGAGCCGTTCCGTCATTCGGTTCACGGGCCTGCCTTGGAGTCATCTCGAGGTTCATCGATGGCGGGGGCTCGAGGGCCAGTCGACCGGCGAAACCCGCGGGGATCGCTCTCTCGCATAGTGCCGGTCACAACTTTTTAATCCAGAGGGTGGATGCAAATAACGCTTGGTTTGGGCAATCCCCAGCGTTCAGACCCATAGCCATTTCGGTTCGAAGCATGTCTTCGGCCACTCGGCCGAAGCTGGTTCAAGCGTTGAACAGGGCAGCGAAAGCAGCAGGCGTTCACCACTCGGAGCTACCCAGAGACAACGCCGCCAGGGACAAGGTAGAAGCACTTGCTCGCCCGGTTGAGTCTTCGAGCGCTGGGGCGGCGCAGAAGGCGGCGGCGGCCGCCGCTTACAAGGCCTACGAAGACTCGTGGCCCCCGAGGAGGACGAGGCGGACGAGGAAGACGAGGTGGTTGGGTTTCGGCTGCGTGGCACGAGCTTCCTTCTCACCTACAACTGGGATTTTTTCGGCATGGATTTCCCGGACGGCACTCCAGCGGCAGCGTCTGCTGAAGACTTGCGGCAGCTCTGGAAGGACTTCGAGGGCCAGAAGAAGAAGGACTTGCAGGTCAAAAAGAGCACCAGCACGCTTGAGGAGTCTCTCAACAGCGACCTCCCCGGGAGGGTGCACTTTCACTGGAAGGTGGAAGTCTCGGCAGCCTTGGTCGAGCCCAACACGGTTTGTTCCGCCATTCACGGCGTCAAGCCGGACGCCCGCCGACCCTTCGCCCCACCCGGTTCGAAAGCAGCCAGGGGCGCGAACTTTGCAGAGACGAGCAACCGCGGACACTTCTACTGCTGGGCACCAAAGAAGGGCACGCTCTTCAAGGGGTCGAACTGGAAGCCTTGGTCTGACTACAGGGTCATGGGCCCGTGGCTGGACGCCCTGTGGACCGACGGAAAGCTGGAGAACGACACCTACGAGGCCCTCGCGCTGCGGGTCCGCGTGGGTTTCGCAGACAGGAAGCGCAACGTTGAGGCTGTCCGGGCGGGTGACAAGGAGGCTTGGATCGACGAGCGTATCTCTCGTGTAGATGCCGCGCTGGACATGATCCGCGCCCCCTTTCCCGCACTTTCCCGGCCGTGCGGCAGTAGGAAGATTCGTTCCTCGCCCTCGACTTTCGATGGAAGTTTTGGCCCTTGTGGCCGACAGTGCTTCAGGGAAGTCGAACTACGCAGAGAGCCTCTTCAGCAAGCCACCGGCGCTGACAGTCGAGGAGGCGGAGCACCTGGACCTGCGAAGCTTCCAATGCGACGAGCACGACGGGCTGGTGCTGGACAACTGCAACTCGTGGGCGCAGCTGCTCCGGTGGAGGGCGGCGTTGCAGGCGAGGAACAGCAAGTCCCGCGGGGGCCAAAGCGCCACCAACGTGTACGCGTACCCTCAGTACTTGTACGGTGTCGCCGCGGTGGCGACGGTCGACTGGGACGCGCCGGACTCTTACTTGGTGGACGACGACTCGCCCTGGCGCTCTCGCTGGCTCTGCAAGAACACAGTCCTCGTGCCGCTGGCAGAGGACGAAGCCTTCTACGACAAGACGAAGCTCCCAACTGAGAAGGTCGACAACGCGTTCTCGAGTTTTGCACGGACGGTGAAACGCAGGCACCTAGCAGAGTAGCAGCACGCGGACTAGCAGGGTGAGAGCCCCCCCCACGAGCAAGGGCTCGAGGCACGAACTGACCAGACTTGCGGCCGACCAAAAAATCATTGTCTCCATCCGCTGCTGGCAGGGGTCGGGCGTGTTTCTAGGAACAACCTTGCCTTGCAGAGATGGCCCGACGCCGCGTCCAATTGAAGCGTTTCCTATGGTGTTTCGTGCATTTTCGCACAATCGCATCAGGGCCATGCAAACGTGAAAACCTGATGATGCGTTTCTCTTGGCACTTTCTCGCCACCATCGGGGTGCGCAGGGGGTGGTCTCTGAGCGCGGCCGCCATGCGCGCCGGTCGTGCAGGGCAGAGCAGGCGCGGCATTTTCTCGACGCCATAAGGGGGTGCGATGGGGGTTGTCTCCGAGCGCGGCCGATATGCGCGCCGGACGCGCAGGGCATAACAGGCCTGGTGTTTTCTCGGCACCACAGGGGGTGCGCTGGAGGTGGTCTCGGAGCGCGGCCGCTATGCGCGCCGGTTGTGCAGGGCATGGCAGGCCTGGTATTTTCTTGGCACCATAGGGGGCGCGCGGGGCCCACAGCAACATTCGTGGGTCGATAACGCCACGCAGGCAGGGTGAGCTCGCCGGGGGCATGTTTTTGGGGTCCGTAGCCGTTTTGGCTTAAGTCTCCTGCGCGCGCGAGTTGCTGCCTCAGGGAGGCGTCGCTGTCCACAATGGCCTCGTATCCGTTGTCCCCTTTTGAGGTTGGACAGGTGAGAGCCCACAAGGAGCACGGTTTGGGCTGCACGAGCATATCCCAACGCGTGAAGAAGGCAGACGGGAATACTACTTTTTCTGAGACGGCAATAGGGAATTGCAAGAAGAAGTTGCAGGAGAGCCCTGGGTGGCGCGGAAAGAGAGAGGCGCGGGGTCTGGGGCCCCGCGCAAGACAACCGAGAAGCAAGACAAGGACATCGTCAAGTGGGTACTGGCCAACCGCGGGAAGACGAAAGTGACCGTGAGCCGGCTAAAGAAGCAGTTCCCATTCTTGCGAAAGGTGTCCGATACGCTGGTGGAAGAACGTCTTGCTGAGGCCGACCTCCAATGGCTCAGGCGCCGCAATAAGAGCATCGTGGTTGCTGAGCATCGGGCTGCTCGCGTGGTTTACTCTCAATGCGTGAAGCGGAAACACCAAGCCACCCTGGAGAGGTGGGCCTACGTGGATGGAACCACGTACTACTGCGATAGAACAGCAAATGAGCACGAGCACACAGCGCGCCGGGCACTAGGGTCCCATGTGTGGAGAAAGTCGGACAACAGCGACGCCTTGTATGCAGACTGCGTGGGCCCATCGTGTTACAACAGAGCTCAGGGCCACCCGGTGCGGGTGTGGGGTATGCTCGCTGCTGGTGTCCTCAACATACACGTGCTCGACGAAGGCGAGGTCATGGACCGGACTGTGTACGTGGAGCTGAAAGAAGACAAGTTCGATGAGTGGAGGTTGAACTGTGAATTTTTGGATTGTGATTATGAAAGGTGTTTGCGCACGCCGGAGGCTCTGCACGCCCTCAATCGCAGCGGCATGAAGCTGGTGGACGAGTTCCCGAAGGTGTCCCAGGACTTCAATGCAATTGAGAATGCTTGGGCAATCTTACAGGAGCGCCTAGACGAGACGTGCCCCATTGAGTTGGAGCCCAGGGATCAGTTAGTGAAGCGACTGCGAACGGCAGTGCGGTGGGCCAATACGCACAGGTCAGATCAGTTGTGGTACTTGTCCACCAACCAGAAAGAGAGGGCAGAGGACTGCCTGCGGTCGAACCCGCCCGGATCTCGCACGAAATGGTAAATGCGCGTCGCAGTATTAGAGGCATGTTGTGCGTGCCGATGTGGAGCATGGAAAACACGTGACAGTGACGCGACGTGCGTTGGCGGCAGTCAACCCGCTGGATTAAAAAGTTGGGACGGCGGGGTTCGAGAGAGAGAGAGAAGGAGAGACGCTGTTGGCCACCCGTTAGGCCATGGGGCCCAGAACAATGTTGGGGTTGATGCCGACTGGGGAGTTTCAGACGCATACCTCACCCCCTTTAATATTATAAAGGCCTAGTGGGGCCGGCGTCTGAAAGTGGCATTCCGCCTAGGACTTCCTCAAAAAAGTTTCAGATCGCCTTCCAGGGCGATCTGAAATTCTCCCCAAACAGCACTTTCAGGGTGCCTTCCATGCCGCCAGAAGACAAAGATTTCGTGTGCGATGATTTCCATAACTTTGTGCTGCACAACTCCACGCCCTGCGGAGCCGTTCCGTCATTCGATTCACGGGCCTGCCTTGGAGTCATCTCGGGGTTCATCGATGGTGGGGGCTCGAGGGCCAGTCGACCGGCGAAACCCGCGGGGATCGCTCTCTCGCATAGTGCCGGTCACAACTTTTTAATCCAGAGGGTGGTAGTGTTGTTTCTCAGCGGCCGCAAAGAAATCTGGCGGCGGTCGAGCACTGGCGGGGCGCGCCGGAGCACCGCGAGGCACTGGGAAGAGAGGGCGCGCGAGGCGAGGGAGGGTTGAAGGGAGGCCGAAGGGTCGAGGCAGCCACCCTCACCCTCAGGCCATGTAGGTCTTCGTGTGCGTGCCGAGGTGCACGTTCTGGAAGAGGCGGAGGAGGAGGAGGAGGAGGAGGAGGAGGAGGAGGAGGAGGAGGGGGAGGAGGAAGAGGAAGAGGAAGAGGAGGAGGAGGAGGAGGAGGAGGAGGAGGAGGAGGAGAAGGGGGAAGAGGAGGAGGGGGAAGAAGACAGAAGGAGGAGGGAGGAGCAGGAGGAGGAGGAGGGGGAGGAGGAGGAGGAAGGGGGGAGAAGGAGGAAGAGGAGGAGGAGGAGGAGGAGGACCAGCGTAAACCCAAGAGGTATCAACGAAGTTGGAATAAACCCTCTCTCCAAGCTCCCTCCTCATAGGCCCCTACAACGGTTCATTGTTACTGAGGGAACTGCCTCGTTGGACGACAACTGATTGAAGACCTTGAAGCATGCCAACAAAAATGTTCTCGGGATTCGAACGCCACGGATCAACCTGACTGTTGCGTCTTGACAGTCCCGAATCGTTTCAGAAGGCCATTCCTGAACAACGCGAATAGACATAACTTTCGCAGCATCATAAGCCTGAATGTCTCCAAAACAAAACTTTTGGTACGTTGATCCTGGGAAACTGTGAAACTCTTGCAAATGCTTGAGACGAATGTGCGCGGCGCTACGGCGAGAGCGACATTTTGAACACGAGCCGCCTTCAATCCGTGAAACTATTGCAGCTATTTAGGACGAATGTGCGCGGCGCTAAGGCGAGAGCCACATGTTGAAAAACACTCGCCCTTAATCCACGAAACTCTTGCAAATCTTAAAGACGAATGTACGCGGCGCTGAGGCGAGAGCCACATTTTGAAAGCGACCCGCCCTCCATTAGCGAAGCTGTTGCCAACTTCTAAGCTTCAGAATCACAAATGGTGAGGAAGGTCTCAGGCGACACGCCCGGTTCGCCCTAAAAACTGGCCTCGAGGTGCGACAGGGAGAACCAATTTAGAAGGAGAAGGAGAAGGAGGAGAAAGAGGAGGAGGAGGAGGAGGAGGAGGGAGGAGAAGGGAGGAGGAGGACGGAGGAGGAGGAGGACGGAGGAGGGAGGAGGAGGAGGAGGAGGAGTGCGAGGCGATTATAAGGGCGGGGCCGCACATGGAGCGCGGGCGTTCTGAACACGGTACGCACTGCGTTTCCAGACGGGCGCATCGGGGCAGCCAGGCCCCGCACCTCCAGCCGCAGGCGCTCGACCTCCAGGTCGTGGGCGGCCCTCGCCTCGGCAGCGTGCGCACACCACGGGGGGGCCCCCAGGGGGCCCGGCCCAGGCATGCGACGCCCTGGAGAAAGCCGTGCGAGAGCTCTTCGTCGCCGGCCGGCCTCTGGCAGGCTCCCGCCGGGCCCCCGAGCGGTCGACCAGACGGTCCAGGACGAGGAGCCAGGGGAAGGTCGGGCATGTCCCCCCACATGTGGATTTTGGAGGAGAAAAGGAACATCGTGAAAAAATGATCCAATGTAGTGAAAAAGTGGTCGAAAAATCCTCCCCATCCTACTTTTGACTATTCCTCCTGTAGAGGGACCTCTGGGACCCGGCCGTGACAAGACCCATACATCCGATACCTGGCAGAATGGCCCTTGGCGCGAGGGCCCTGCCGACCGCTGCTTGCGGCGCCGCAGGCGGCGGCCTGGGGCGAAGAGTTGGCCCTGGGGAACGGACCCGAACCTCTGGGACCCGGTGCTGAGAAAGCCAAGGCATCGGATACCTGGCAGAATGCAGGCGGCGCGCCCCGGGGGGAAGTGAGAAGGGGCGGGCCTTCTGACAAGGCTCGGAAGTCCCCCCGGCCTCCTGAGAAGTCTCCTATAAGCCTTCCCCGAGGACGCAGAAAACCTCTCAGAGGGCGCGAAGGCTTCTGAGAAGTCCCGCCGCCTTCTGAGAAGGCCTCCTTCTCGGACGCCTAATGGTTTGGGGGTCATAACTCGGCTCTCCAGTGGCTGTTGTGGACGATCCAGACACCCCCGGAACGCTCTCGGCGAGGCGCAGCCGCTGGAACGCACCCCGGGGCTGGAAAACCGCCGAGAACCGACGAAAACGTCCGAAGACCTCGAACCTCGAGCCCGAAACTTCCCCCTTCTCACTTCCCCCCCCCGTCGCTCGCCGCCGAGAACGGCCTCCGGTGCGAGGGCCCTGCCGACCGCTGCGTGCGGCGCCGCGGGCGGCGGCCCGCGAGAGCCCCGCGCCTGCCCCCCACCCGCCGGGCGCCCCCGGGCGCCGCGCACCGGAGGCCGCTCCCGCGAGGGGGATCACCCCGTGCGTGCGGTGAGGAGGAAGGGGGGAGGAGGGCGCGGGGGAGGGGGCGGGGGAGGAGGGGGAGGGGGAGGAGGGGGAGGGGGGGGAGGAGGAGAGGAGGAGGAGGAGGAGGAGGAGGAGGAGGAGGAGGAGGAGGAGGAGGAGAAAGAGGAGAAAGAGGAGAAGGAGGAGGAGGAGGAGGAGGAGGAGGAGGAAGACGGTCGCCCGTTCGATGAGACGCTCCCGCAAGGGGTCACCCAGTGCGTGCGTCGGGGGGAACAAAAGGGGGGGATAGCAAACGGTAGGGTAGAGAATCAGCTCACGTAGTTGATTTCCCAGTGCCTCCCGGCGCCAGGAGGCGCCCATGTGTCGAGGAGTGGGCCCAGCGGCGGGGCCGAAACCAGCTGCCCCTTTCCCCATCCTACCTTTTCGTTCGGCCCGACTGCGGCCGGTCGCCCGTTCGATGAGGCACCGGAAGTCGGCGCCCCGCACGGGTCGGTCCTGCGCGCCGCCACACGCGGCCGCTCGTCGTCGTCGGCATCCTGCCCGCGGCCGCGCGGGGGCCAGCGCGGCCCCTGGAGATCCAGGCCCTGTCTCCTGGAGCCGGCTCTTCATCCCGAGCCGTTTGTGTTTCACGGTCCCCAGGGGCCTTGCGAGGGCCCCCGGAAGCCAAAACCGACGAAAAACTCCATACTGAAGGTTCCAATACCTCGGAAGTCTGGGGCGTCGCCATCCTCCCCGCCGCCGAGCGGGGTCAGCGCCGCCGGGCCCCAGGGCTGTCCCGAAAAGGCCCTCCAAGGCCACCCCCTTGCTCCCAGAGATCACTCTGTTCGTCCTGGCTGCCCGCCCTCTTTCACTCTATGTGCCTCCCTTCTTCCCTTTTCGCGCCAGCTTTCCTTTGAAAAACATTTCTGAACGGGCTGGCGGGGATACTGTTTGGATCTGCGGGTTCGCGCAGCAGGTCGAAAGCCGTCCGAACACAAGTCGGGCCGCGACTAAGCAGCAAAAAAAGAAAGGCAAGCGAAGCGAGCACGCGGGCAGTCACTCAGAAGAAGATCCGGAAACGAAACTCCCAACCTGGTGGCGTGGAGACCCCAATGGCTCAATCACTCGGCGTGAGTCGGCACAAGGCACCGTCAGAGACGAGCAGGACCGACAAGCACATCCGGACGACGTCCGTGCCGTAGGCGACACAACTGCATCGCTTCAGCGCACGAGTGAAGAGGGGGCAACCTCGTCACAGGAAGGACTGCAAACGGCAGTACCTATGTTTGTACATCCGTGGCACACGTCGAAAGCGAAGTCCTTGCAGGAGAAAGCAGCCACACTTGCGGCTGGTGGGGATACTTTGTGATCCGCGGGCTCGCGAGGCAGGTCGAAAGCCGTCAGAACACGAGTCGGGCCGCGACTAAGCAGCAAGAAAAGAAAGGCAAGCGAAGCGAGCACGCGGGCAGTCACTCAGAAGGAGATCCGGAAACGAAACTCCCAACCTGGTGGCGTGGAGACCCCAATGGCGACCAGCAAGTAAGCGCAGCCAAAATGGCCCGGCAACGCGACCATAAACACGCAGAGGTCAATCACTCGGCGTGAGTCGGCACCAGCCACGGTCAGAGACGAGCAGGACCGACAGGCACAGCTGGACGACGTTCGTGCCGTAGGCGACACAACGGCATCGTGTCAGCGCAAGAGTGTAGAGGGGCAACCCCGTCACAGATAGGACTGGAAACGGCAGCACCTCTTGTTTGTACAGCAGTGGCACATGTCGAAGGCGAAGTCCTTAACCCTCTCGGTCACCAGTGGAGGCCGACACCAGCCAGGAGCAAGCCTGGGGCCACCTCACCGCCCATTCCCAGTGTGATCCTTGCATGGAATTCGCAGAGCGACCCCACTGAAACCTTTCGGTCACCAGTGGAGGCCGACACCAGCCAGGAGCAGGCCAGGGGCCACCTGACCGCCCATTCCAGGTGTGATCCTTGCATGGAATTCAGGCTGTCAGAGCACCATCAGACAGCGGCATTGGCGGCAACCCCAGCCGCGCGGGAGAAACCCGGCGAAACAAAGGAGAGGAGGGGAAGTTCACGCCAGGCACGGTAGGCACCTCAGCGCGGCAGCTAACCGCTGCTGCAGCATTAAAAAGCAAGGAAAGGAAGCGCACGCCAGGCACGCGGCGCAAGAGGGGAGGGGGAGAAGGTAGAACATATACTCGAGCAGCTGTTGCTGACTATGCCAATCGCGGCTGCGCCATTTCCGACCGCGCTGACTACGCCAACCGCGACTGTGCCAACCCTGGCTAAGTCAACCCTGACCGCGCCAACTAAGCCCCTCCCCATCGGGGGGGGCCCCTTCCACCTGCGACTCGCGACTATCTTCGCACTCTTCCCAGTGGGGGCGACTGACCGTCGCAGAGCCCGTTGGAATCCGAGGCGGCTGGGCGCCCCCAGGGGTCGCGTCGCACCGAAGAGGTCGGAGCGTAGTGAGATCCCACTGAAGCCTTTCGGCCATCAGCGGTGGCCGACACCAGCCAGGAGCAGGCCAGGGGGCACCTGACCGCCCATTCCCAGTGCGATCCTTCCATGGAATTCAGGCTGTCAGAGCCCATCAGACAGCGGCATCGGCGGCAACCCCTGCCGCGCGGGATATACCCGGCGAAACCAAGCGGAGGAAGGGATGTGCACGCCAGGCACGGCAGGCACCCCGGCGCGGCAGCTAACCGCTGCAGCACTAGGACGTAGGAGGGAAGGAAAGGAAGCGCAGGCCAGGCACACGGCGCGAGAGGAGAGGAGGAGAAGGTAGAACATTTACTCGAGCAGTTGTTGCTGACAATGCCAATCGCGGCTGCGCCATTTACGACAGCGCTGACTATGCCAACCATGACTGTGCCAACCCTGGCTATGCCAACCCTGACTGCGCCAACTGAGCCCCCGTGGAAAGCGACGCGCCCTTATCGACCATGCACCCCGTGCGCCAGAGCGCCCCAGGTAGCTGAGGCGAGACTGCCTGGCCACGTTGCCGCGCAGCTTGCCCCAGTAGTACCGGTTAGCGACGTGCTGCTCGACTGGGCCCCGGAGTGCTCAGCAACGCCGCGCCGCGCGACTCCCCGGTGATCATCGCTGCTTGTCGCGGCGGCGCTGGTCAGCGACGCGCCCCTGGACTCCGTTGCGCCGGGGCCCGCGGTGCTCATCGACGACGTGCCACTAGTCTGGTTGTCGCTCGTTGCCGCGCCGTTTGTCTTGGAGGCGCTGAGGGGCGACGCGCTGCTCCGCCCCGTTGTGCCTGGGCCAGCGGCGTTGGGCCTTATTGCGTTCGTCAGCGCAGCGCTGCTCGCCCCACTTGCACTCGTCGCCGAGCTGCCTGTCTCTGCGGCGCTGGCAAGCGGGCGCAGGGGCCGCTGGAGGAGAAGAGCGACTAACCGTCGCAGCCTTGGAAGAAGAACAGGGAAAGGTGAGGTGGAGGCAGTTTACCACGGCGGGCCGTTGACTCCATGGCACGCGCCACCCCGCATAACCAGGTGCACGCGCCATCGATATCAATACTAACAAGGTCCGGTGACAGAGGGCGCAGCCGCAAGGCGGCGAGGACTTCCCAGCGCAGGGAAAGCAGCACGCCAGGCTGGCTCCCGGGGCTGCGGTAGGCACGCCCGGCCTAGAGTAGAAATAATAAAGCCGCCTTTCCTGGGGGACAGCGAGGAGACGGCCGCGAGCCAGGCGCCGAGGGGGAGAGGAGATGGCAAGCGATCACAGGACCCCTGAGGGACTCCAGACACACATAGCCCATGCCCAAGTGCACGCGCCACCCACACTCGAAAGCCCGGTGCCAAAAGGAACAGCCACAAGGCGGCGAAGGACTTCCCGGCGCGGGGAGGGCAGCACGCCAGGCTGGCTCCCAAGGCCGCGGCAGGCACTCCAGGCCCAAAGTGGAGCGCGCCAGCGTTGGCGGGAGCCCCAGGGCGCTGCCGCGCCCGCGGGAACGTAGACCGACGACCTCTCGTGCCCGGCGCGAGCGCGCATGAAAGCGACGACGACGTGCATGGGTACACTGTAGGGCTGGGCTCTGCCTTTGCCAAGCTTCCTGTAGTCGGTAGCGCGCCACTCCCGCCGTGCCGGGCTATAGGGGGACGAGCGAATGACGCCCCGAACGCGCCCCATTAGAGAACGGCGGCTCATCGCGGCGAGGGCCAGTTCGCAATTGTCGTCGCAGTCTGGGCTTTTCCCCGTGAGCGCTAGGAACTGGCGGAGGACCTCAGGCTCGTGGCGCGCGGGATCGCAGGTGCCAGGGCCCCCCCATCGCCTCGTTGGCGCGACAGAAGTCACGCCACTGGCGCGCCCCCCCCCCCCCTCTTTTGCCACGCCTCGACCCGCTCCGCGAGGGCTGGCGGGCCGCCCACGAGCGCCCCGGCCCCCGAGGCAGACTCGCCAGGCGACTGCTCCGCTTCTCGGCCGGCGCCCAGCCCCGCGCTCGCACAAGACCCGTTCGCATTGGGGGGCGAGGGCATAGTAAGCGACGCGCCCGGGCCCGCCCCGTCACCACGGGCAGGCGGCACGCACGGGGACGAGTCAGCGCTGACGGTCGTCGCGGCGGCAGCGGTGACCGCCGGGGTCGACGCGGTCTTCGGCTGGGCCAGCGCACTTCGGACACTGGGTCGCCATCGGCTGGAGGAGTCAACGGCGGGCGACGGCCAGGGGCCCCCGTCGCCCCGTGGCCCCGCACGGTCCGTCGAAGGCGACGCCAGTGCAAGGGTGATCTCGCGGGCAAAGCCCGCCCGCCGAGGCGGCGCGTCCGCGTTTGCCGCGGGCGGGGCCTGCAGCGGGCTGGCCGCACGCTCGGGCACGGGGGCCCCTGGCGGACGTGGGGGGGAGGGGCGGAGAGCAGCGAGTCGCCCTCTGCCCACCATTCGCCTGACTGCGGCCTCGTCTGCTCAGGCCCCGCTGTCTCTTTCCGCCTCAATACCCAGGTCGTCCTCCAGGATGCCCTCGCTCTCATCGTCCTCACACTTCTCCTCCATGGGCTCCTCCGCCGCCCCCTCGATGGCATCCTCGTGGTCTCCTCCCCAGCGGTGGCCCCCCCCTCCTCCTGCGACTCGCGACCATCTTCGCACTCTTCCCAGTGGAGGCGACTGACCGTCGCAGAGTTTGTTGGAATCCGAGGGGGCTGGGTGTTCCCAGGGGTCGCGTCGCCAGTGGGTTGCGTTGGACGGTCGGCAAGGCCCTCCCTGTCTTCTCCCTGCCCCTTCTCCTGCGGCTCGCGACCCATTTCGCACTCTTCCCGGCGTAGGTGACTGACCATCGCAGAATCCCTTGGATTCCGAGGCGGCTGGGCGTTCCCAGGCGTCGCGTTGCCAGTGGTTTGTGTTGGACGGTCAGCAAGGTTCTCTCTGTCTTCTCCCTGCCCCTCACCCCGCGACTCGCGATTATCTTCACACTCTTCCCGGTGGAAACGACTGACCGTCGCAGAGGCCATTGGAATCCGAGGGGGCTGGGTGTTCCCAGAGGTCGCGTTGCCAGTGGGTTGCGTTGGCCGGTCGGCAAGGTCCTCTCTGTCTCCCCCCTGCCCGTTCCCCCGTGGCTCGCGACCCATTTCGCGATCTTCCTGGCGTAGGTGAACGACCATCGAAGAATCTGCTGGAATCTGAGGCGGCCGGGTGTTCCCAGAAACCGCGTGGCCAGCGGGTTGCGTCGGACGGTCGGCAAAGCCCCCCCCGTCTTCCCCCTGCCCCACACCCTGCGACTCCCGAACATCATCACATTATTCCCGGCGGCGGCGACTGACCGTCGCAGTCCGCTGGAATCCGAGGCGGTTGGGTGTGCCAAGAGGTCGCGGTGCCAGTGGGTTGTGTTGGACGGTCGGCAAGGTCCTCCCTGACTTCTTCCTGCCCCTCCTCGTCCCGCGATTCGCGACTATCTTCGCGCTCGCCCTGCGTCGGCGGGGCGCCCGCCCACCCGTCGGTGCGCGCAGCCTGCTGGCCCAGTGCTGTAGCAAGACGCACGAAATGCCCAGGTCTTAGGCCGATGTCGCGCATGCGTCGACCACTGATAAGCCGTACCTCAACCATGCGCTCACACCCATGCTCAACGAAGCTCGACGCATACATCCCAAGACCATGCCGACACAGAAAAAGCGACGACCTCGGGCTCGCAATCTATGTTAGGGTCGTTTGCGGGCGGGGCCGCCGAAGCGTCACATCTTGCTTGGTCCAGACGGAGAAGTATCTTGTTCTGCTCGCTGACGAGCGGCGCGCTCTCGCGCGGCGGGCTGCCCAGACTGTGATGGCGTAGTCGAATTCGAGGCCATGCTGACTATGCCAATCCTGGCTGTGCCAACTTCGCTGACTATCATGTGGGGGACCATGCTGACTGTGCCAACCTTGACTGTGCCAACCAAGTGGGTCCTGCCACGCTGACCAGGCCCGCCAAAAAGCCACGCGCTCATCACGGAAATGTGGAAGGGGAAAAGCGAGACAAGAGAAGGGAGGGAACGGGCGGAGGCCTCCTGACGGCACGCAGCTTGGGCAAGAGCGGCTTGAGACTGACTACAGACTTGAGCCAAAGGGTGGCTACGGACTGCTGGGGATACGCGAAACGTGAAGACATTTCCAACACGTTAAAAAATGAGGCGTCGTCGTCCATCGACTGTACACAGACATGGCCTTGTGTACGAATGATCTTTGGTGCGCGGTTTTTCACGGGCCGCGGGGGGATCAAACACAAGCGCGCAAACCGCTACTACCCCGTCTCGTTCGGCGATCGGGGGAACCCAGTGGGCCCGCACCAAAGGTCACTCTGGCGAAGGGTCACTCTTACGCGTAGTCGAGTCCTGCCCGCCGCCGAGCGGGGCCAGCGCCGCGGCGCCAGGTGGCTCGCCGGTCATGGGCCCGCCCTGGGCGGCGGTGCGCGGGCGACCTGCGGTCGCAGAGGGGCCGCCCGACCAAGGGGCCCGTCCGGCGGGGGCGGCGGGCTGGAGGGGGCCCAGACCTCCGAAGAGCTCAAGAAATCCCCAGACACTTACTCCTCGCACGCACAACTACAACGACAACAAAAACAAACAAACAAACAAACAAACAAACAAACAACAACAACCAACAAAAACCACAAAAAAATAACAACAAAAACAACAACAAAAACAACAACAACAACAACAACAACAACAACAACAACAACAACCACAACAGCAACAAGCAACAAGCAACAAGCAACAACAACAACAGCAGCAACAGAAACAGAAACAGAAACAACAACAACAACAACAGCAACAACAACAACAACAAAAACAACAAAAACAACAACAACAACAACAATAATAATAATAACAATAACAACAAGCAACAACAACAACAACAACAACGACAACAACAACAACAAGTTTAAGACTGATCGCCCTTATATGCTCGAGTGTCCAATAACGCGTATGTCCCATACCCTCGATACCCGCCCTCTTCGTCTTCGATCGAACCCCTTTTGGGGGGTATACATTTCTTCCCTGCAGGCTGGGCCCCGGCAAGCGGCGGGGCGGCCGCGGACCGTCGGCCTGGCCAGCGGCAGCGCTGATCGGCGGGGCGGCCGCGGACCGTCGACCCGACCCCAAGAGGGACGGACAGGGGACCGACACGACGACGACGACGACGACGACGACGACGACGACGACGACGACGACGACGACGACGACGTCGACGACGACGAACGACGACGACGGACGACGGCGACGACGAGCGAAAGCGAGAGCGAGAGAGAACGACAGCAGGGCCACGAAGGGCACGAAGTAGGCCACGAAGGGCGACAGCGGGGACACGAAGGGAATGCGTATGGGGCCACGAAGAGCGCAAACGAGCGGGGGCCACGAAGTGCAGATAATGCGGGGCCACAGAAGGCAATCATGGGGCCACTGAGGGTAGCAACTGGGCCACGCAGGACAGTGGGGACACAAATGGCGACAGCGGGGCCACGAAGGGCATGCACATGGGGCCACAACGGGCGCGACTCCTGGGTGCCTGGGTGTCGGGAGCGCGGCGCTTGGGCAAATTGCAAGAAGTTCCAACGCAAGACCATTCTTCAGTAAGTTGCAAGCAAGTCTCCAGCGAGAGCGCGACTCCAGAGCGCCGGGACAGCGATTCCTGAATAAATTGCAAGGAAGTCCCAAGCGAGAGCGCGATTCCTGAATAAAATGCGAGGAAGTCTCGGGCGGGAGCGGGGGCCCTGGCTAAATTGTAAGGAAGTCTCAAGCGGGAGCTATTGTTGTTGTAACCTGGGGGCCAAGGGCCCAGTTTGAGCAGGAAGACTTTCCCTGTCAAAAAACAGGGTGCGAGCGTCGAGGGGCACACTTTGATTGAGAAAAACAATATGCACTGGTGGGGGGGATCAACAATAATGATTCTTCAGAAATGAGAATTCAACAACAACAACAACAACAACAACAACAACAACAACAACAACAACAACAATTACTAGCACGTGGGGACACTCCGTTCTCACCAGTGCCAGGGTTTTCATACGACGCCCGCCAATACCCCCACTTTGTGGGGGGGCCGGTTCAAGCTCTACCACATTTCCAAACGACTCTTCGCCACCACCCACACCCAGCTTCCCGCCCTATGACGTTCGGACACTTCACTTCGTGGCCTGCGGACGACCGTGGCTACTACACTGGCGCATGGGTACAGTGACTTGTTGTGGTAACATTTTCTGGACGCTAGCTTAGTATACGACTTTTCCCCCTGCTCCAACACTGGACACCTGTACTGGTTTTTGGTGGTAACGTGTTCCTGACGCTAGAATAGGAAACCACGGTAAACCAGTACGACGCCGGTACTGTGTCTGTAGGTCCTACGACGACGACGACACGCGCGCATGTGTCCCGCATGGTATGTTTTGCAAGGGATTGTGGCCCCTGGCAGGCGCGCGAACGCCGTTGAAAGAGCTTGCGAAAGTAGCTCGCGCGAGCTCATGTAACATAAATGTTGAAAAACCATTGGTTTTTTAGGATTCGGACAGCGCGCGCGGGTAGAAATTTTGAAAATTCGTACAGATGTTTTTCGAGGACCTACGGTGCGATTCGTATGATTTTATGTTGCGCGGTGCTAAAATTCCTAAGAAACCCAATGGTTTTTGAAGATTTCGGCGTGCGCGCGCGAAGAAAAAACGAATGTGTCCCGCATGGTATTATTTGACAGGGATGATGGCCCTGGCAGGTGCGCAACCGTTGTTGGAGAAGTTCGAAGCACGTGAAAAAGTTGCTCGCAAAAGCCCGTTTGACAGAAATGTTTAAAAAGTGTTGGGTTTCCTACAAATCCGCAAGAGCGCGCGGGATGAAATTTTGACATTTTTTTTGAAAAACCATTGGTTTTTTATGTTTTTATGTTAAAATCGTTACGAACACTAAGGTTTTGGAAGGATTTCGTCTTGCGCGCGCGAATGTCCACTTTACCTTATTTTTTGCAAGGGATTCTTGAAGTTTGGTTATGTTAGAACAAGAAATGTCCACTTTGCCTTATTTTTTGCAAAGGAAAACCGCCCGTAACAAAACAACCGGATCCGGACCAACCCGTTTTGCCGGAGACTTCCTCACGAAAATGATGAAAACATGGCTGCGGCCTAGGCGCGGCGAGGGGGCCGTGCACCAGGGGCCCCAACAATAATTATTCTTTAGAAGTAATAATGTTCAACAACAACAACAACAACAACAACAACAGTAACAGTAACAATAACAATAACAATAACAATATCAATAACAATAACAATAACAATAACAATAACAATAACAATAATACCAGGAATTTTAAGACTGTTCGCCCTCATATGCTCGAGTGTCCAATAACGCGTATTTCCCAAACCCTCGATACCCGCCCTCTTCGTCTTCGATCGAACCCCTTTGGGGGGGTATACCTTCCTTCCCTGCAGGCGGGGCCCCGGCAAGCGGCGGGGCGGCCGCGGACCGTCGGCTTGGCCAGCGGCAGCGCTGATCGGCGGGGCGGCCGCGGACCGTCGACCCGACCCCAAGAGGGACGGACAGGGGACCGACCACGACGACGACGACGACGACGACAACGACGACGACGACGACGTCGAAGACGACGGCGACGACGACGACGACGGCGACGACGAGCGAAAGCGAGAGCGAGAGAGAACGACAGCAGGGCCACGAAGGGCACGAATTTGGCCACGAAGGGCGACAGCGGGGACACGCAGGGAATGCGTATGGGGCCACGAAGAGCGCGAACGACCGGGGGCCACGAAGTGCAGATAATGCGAGGCCACAGAGGGCAACTATGGGGCCACTGAAGGTAGCACCTGGGCCACGTAGGACAGTGATGGGGACACAAACGGCGACAGCGGGGCTATGAAGGGCATGCACATGGGGCCACAACGGGCGCGACTCCTGGGTGCCTGGGTGTCGGGAGCGCGGCGCTTGGGCAAATTGCAAGAAATTCCAACGCAAGGCCATTCTTCAGTAAGTTGCAAGCAAGTCTCCAGCGAGAGCGCGATTCCAGAGCGCCGGGACAGCGATTCCTGAATAAATTGTACGGAAGTCCCAAGCGAGAGCGCGGTTCCTGAATAAAATGCGAGGAAGTCTCGGGCTGGAGCGGGGGTCCTGGCTAAATTGTAAGGAAGTCTCAAGTGGGAGCCGTTGTTGTTGTAACCCGGGGGCCAGGGGCCCAGTTTGAGCAGGAAGACTTTCCCTGTCAAAAAACAAGGTGCGAGCGTCGAGGGGCACACCTTGATTGAGAAAAACAATATGCACTGGTGGGGGGATCGACAATAATGATTCTTCAGAAATGAGAGTTCAACAACAGCAACAACAACAACAACAACAACAACAGCAACAGCAACAGCAACAGCAACAGCAACAACAGCAACAGCAACAACAACAACAACAACAAAATTAAGACTGCTCGCTCCTATCTGCTCACGTGCCAACCCATACGTATACCCCAAACCCTTGGTACCCGCCCTCTTCGTCTTCGATCGTACCCCCTTGGGGGCATATCTTTCTTACCTGCCACGCGTATTCAGTGCAGCCCCTAAAGCAAGGGAAATGAGGACGGGTGGAAGGGGGAGGGAGAAGAATGGAGCACGAGAGAAATTAGCAGGAGGGGGGCAAGGAGCAGAAAACAAGTGGTAGAACCAGACGGGCAGATCGGGTGGGCAGACCCATAGCGGGCAAGTCGGGAAGGCGGGCCCATGCGACGAAGTCGAGCAAGCGGGTTGCTGAAGCGTGGGTCCTGCATAAATCGCGAGGAGGTTTCGAGCGATAGAGCAATTCCCAAGTAAATCGTGAGAAAAGCCTGCGTGGGTCACGAAGGGCATAAAATCCGAGGCCACGGAGGGCAGCGACGGGGCCGCTAAGGGCAGCACCGGGGCCACGAAGGGCAGCGAGGGGGCCACGAAGGGCGACAGCGGGGCCAAGAAGGGCATGCATATGGGGCCACGACGGGCGCGAGCGAGTGGGGGCCACGAAGGGCATTCGTATACGGGGCCACAAAGGGCGACAGTGGGGCCACTGACGGCAGCAAACGGGCCACGAAGGGCAGCAAAGGGGGCCACGAAGGGCGACAGCGGGGCTACGAAGGGCATGCGTATGGGGCCACGGCGGGCGCGTGCGAGCGGGGGCCACCAAGGGCATAGAATGCGGGGCCACGAAGGGCAGCGAATTGGCCACTGAGGGCAGCAACGGGGCCACGAAGGGCAGCAAGCGAAGACGACCGCGGAACCAATACGGGCAGCGAGGGGCATCGAAGGCGGGCGAAGTGCAGCGAGCGGCGACTGCAATCATGAACGGGCTGGTCGGGCGGGCAGGCCCCGGCGGGCGGGTCGAGCGGGCGGGTCGTTGAAGCGTGAGTCCTGCCTGAAACGCCAGGCAATATGTGGCGGGAGCGGAATTCCTGAGCGTCGAGGAGCGGCATCTGAATAAATTGTGAAGAAGTATCAAGCGAAGCGGTTCGGTGGTACAGTTGCGAGGAAGTCCCAAGCGAGAACGCGAT